AACTCTGTCTGTCTGTCTGTCTGTCTGTCTGCTACGCTTTCACGCCTAAACCACTGAACTGATTTTAATGAAATTCGGTACAGAGATAGAGTTGACCTTGAGAAAGAACATAGGATAGTTTTTATCCCAGACTTTTGAAAGGTTCTCTTGGAAACGCGATATAACCGAACTCCACGCGGCGAAGCTGCGGGCGGAAAGCTGGTAGTGTAATAAATATTTTTAAATTAAACTCCCCAAACCTCAGAGCTCTGTATTAACATATCAAAGTATGTATAGTGACAATAGATGATCATTATACGAGGAGTAACAGGATCCGGAGCAGATGATGATGAGGGGCGATACATGCCATCAGAATAATATATATATATAAAGAGTATGTCTGATTGTACCTTTGCTCATAATATTCTAGTTAATTTATATTAATACTAGTTTTGCTCGCGACTTCGTTCGCGTTTAGTTAGTAATTAGTAACATAAGTAAATATATTCCGTCCTAGAGGCCGTAAATAACCAGATATTGGAATTTATTCATTTTTTCTGTTTCGATAGAACAAAATTATATATCCTATGTCCGTCTCCTTGTTCTAATCTATCTCTCCACTAATTTTTATCTTAACCGGTACAGTCGTTCTTGAGTTATAATTAGTGTGACTAACACGACTTTCTTTTATATATTAATATTAATTTATATATATCCGTCGTAGCCCCGTCCTCATGGTCACACTACACTTGTCGGGGTGCATACATTACTGTTCTTTTGAGTTTGTCCCGTGTGTACAGACAGACAGATAGTGGGAACGAACAGAGTATATAATATATAAATATATTATTTAAATATTCATAACATATAAGAAACGTGATTATTTTATATTTTTTATTGTAATATAAAATATTTTTACGTCTGCATGAAATTTATTGAAACATAGAGAGTAAATCGAAATCATTGTTTTAGATTTATTTAAATATAATAATAATTATTATTATGCCGACGTTACTTGTACATGCGAGTGTGATTCACTGGAAACAGATCAGTAGCGGGTTCGAGTCCCCGCTTGTCACAATACTCCAGGGATTATAAAGACACTTACACACTACATGAAACACTTGGCAACATATTGTTAACAATACATTCTATACTAGTGTTCGCCTGTGGTTTCGTCCGCGTAATCTTTACATTATATATGTACCGTCAGCGTCATGTATAGTGCGTGTCTCGTGACTTCATTCATAATAAAACTAGTCTAATGTGGTCCTTCTATTCTATTCCACTTCTTTTTCTCACATCTGAGCTGTAGTGTAAAGTTTCATTAAAATCTGTTTAGCAATTTCTTCATCCACATTCGATAAGGGTCTTCAGTTTTAAAATTTTAATGTCAGTTGAAAAATGAATTAATATACAATTTAATACATATTATTGTTTAATATATTATGTACTTAATAATATTTGTATTGGTCTCTTTGTTCACAATATATAATAATTTCGTATATTCTTTTCGTTATTTTGTCACAGTAACGAGGTCTTCGTACCACACGTACTGTTTTTTAATATAATTGTGTCCTCGGGCGACGCTCGGTATTAACGAAAATGTTAAAATACAGCCAAAAATATATTAATATGGAGAAACAAAAGTTGATGAAAACAAAGGTCTAGCGGAATGAATGTTATGTGACGTGTTTACAGATGTTGGAGCAGCGTCTTACAGAAGCATTGGATACTTGTATGTGGAACGAATATTGTATTGTATTTATAATATTTTATAATATTTATGATATTTTTTATATAAATAATATTGACGTAATAATTACATTGAATATTCAGTCTCAAGAGGGCGATGTGTCCGAACATATAATGAAATACACTTTTGTATATTATATTGTTATAAAAATATACATTACGAATTTTTAATACTAGACATATAATAAAATTAATTATTTTTCTTTAATATTTCAACAAGATTATTTCGTTTCAACTAGAAAATTTATATAGTATACAATTGTAGTCATTTGTATATATTAAATTGTTACACTATTTGATGAAACATATTCCTGTTTCGATTTGAATAAAAACTATCCTCACCAACTGACAGACAATAAATTCAAACGAGCAACGCCACGTGCATAACATAGTGATAATACTTTGAACAAACGAGTTGTAGGACATATTAAATAAGGGTTGTGGTCGAATTAATTGTCACCCTCCCGGGGGAGCCCTGGCACTAGTGGCAGCCCCCGGCGGTACTCGCTATATACATAGATAGAACCAGTGAAGTGTGCTCACATGAATATAATAAATATTATTACAAAATAATATATGAATATATAACTTACTACTCGATATAAGATGTTCTGAACGTTTTGTGACGCCTAGTCAAATAGGATTAGGAATTGTCGTCTAAATATTAGGTGTTTAATATTAATCATTGTTTGGTTTATAGAGGCGTATGTATATATGTAGATAGGTAGGAGACACATTCATCTCGTCTGTCCGTGATCACGGTTGACGAAAAGTACATAAACGGAACGTCGGGAATATGTAGAAATAAAATAATAAAAAACGTGTAGCTTAACCGAACAACTTAAGTTTTAAAAGTAAAAGTAAAAGCTGCTAAAGAGCAGTGTTAGTTCCAATAAATGAATCAACATCATCGTCATCATCCTATCAGAGCCCACTGCTGAGCCTCTTCTCACATGGAGCAGGTTTGAGCATTAATCACCACGCTTGCTAGAGACGGCTTAGTGATTTCTAACTTATAATTTAAAGGTATAACTTCACGTTTCCTGACGTTGTCTAATACTCTTATAAACTACATATGACTCGCAACAATCACATTGGTACTCGCCAGGTTTCGAACCCGCGCCCTCATGTATGAGAGACTGGCTTTTAACCATTAGGCCACCATGAGTACTTGTATAATGAACATGACTTGTGACATTATATGTAAAAAAATCAGTCATCACTAAGTATATCCCGCGGGTCCGTCTGTAATAAACGAGCTCTCGAAATTCTTAATTAATATTAAGTTATATTATAAAACAGGTCAACATTAAGTATATATAATATTATGTATATAGTTTAGGAGATGCTATTGTTAATTGACACACACACACACACCCAAACACAAGCCACAAGCCATTACACGACCTAATTCTAGATTATAATTGGTATACGGCTAAGCCTAAATACCATTTAGATATAACGACAGCTTTACATAATGAAACATTGAATAAATTAAATAAACATACTTAAAATATGACTTTGATAATAAGTACAAGTATGTGAGGAAATTATAAGAGGACTAGAAGACCCGGCGAACTTCATATCGCCCTATAATCAAGAAGTATCTATTACGTTTTTTTATTTATATTTTTGGAGTTTACCTTTAAGCCATAAATCTCCGCGTTTTGAAGTGCGACAGAATGATTGACATATTAGTTAGTTGTCAAATCTAATGTCAAAAAAAAACGTTTATATGGGAAATAGAAAAGGGCTGTTTTTATGGTTTTCCCAGTAATGAATCAATTTTTTTCCTCTTTTATACCTTCCCTGAACCTCCACGAACATTTCAAGACTAAGATAAGATAAATCCGTTCAGCTGTTCTCGAGTTTTAGCGAGACTAAGGAACAGCAATCCATTTTTATATATATAGAAGATAGTTACCACGCGTTTGATAGTCACGTTACACACGAGACACGCGGCGTGTACCGTTAATGAATGACAAACTGTTAACGTGAAGTATGTAGTGACACTGACTCACTGACGAGACACACTCGTAGTAAGTGTATTGATATATTTTCAATCACAGCACTAGTGAGTATTCACATGACTTAATTGAAAACTCGATTGATTGTTATGTAGTCTTCTGTATGTATATGTATGAAAGTTACGTATAATCTTCTATATATATAAAAATGGATTGCTGTTCCTTAGTCTCGCTAAAACTCGAGAACGGCTGAACCGATTTGGCTAATTTTAGTCTTGAAATACTCCTGGAAGTCCAGGGAAGGTTTAAAAGGTGAGAAAAATAGGAATAATTGCCGGGAAAACACTAAAAACAGTCGTTTTCTATTTCCCATACAAACGGTTTTTTTTGACATTAGATTTGACAACTAAGTAATATGTCAATCATTCTGTTTGATTGAAACAGGAAAAACCTGATAATTTATGGCCTCTAAGACGGAATAGAGTTCGCCTGGTCAGCTATACCTACATATATTACTCTTGACCAAACTAACGCGGACGAAGTCACAGGCAAAAACTAGTGTTTTATATAACTTAAGTACATAAGTAACTAGGTGGATCTCGTGACTCATTGATATATAACGAATGTAAATAACAAAGAACATAGTTTCATTAAGATTAGTTTAAACTATGTTTAGTTGTGTGATTGGGTCATCTTATGTGAACCTTCATACATTGAGCGAACAGATGAGACTACGAAAACTATAGACATGAGCAAATACACGCTGAAAATATATATGTACAACGTTTACGTTAAGTGGTCGAATACAGATAATGTTGCTACTACTCTTCAGACGATATCAGTTCCTTTGAACTTCAATAAAATTCTACAAGTGAAATGTTTTACGAAGCATATGTACTTGACGTTGATGATATACAAACATTATGAATCTTCTTCTACCTGGCAATTTCCCAGATATAGCCAGGGTCTGCCTTACATGTTGTGAATAGTTTTTGGCTATTTGTTTTTACGACCGGCCGCCTGCCTGACATCAACCCTTTTTTGGAAATCAACATTAATCAGTGATGTCTAAATACTCTTAGAAAGTACATATGATTCGGAAAAATCACATTGGTACTTGCACGGGCCGGGATAGAACCCGCGCCCTCGGCGACGAGAGGCCAAGAGGCGGACCCTTTAACCACTGAGCCACCACTGACTCATATACAAACATCATGAATATTATAATCACACAAGGCTTTAAATTAGTTTCAATACAACTATTGACATGTAACATAGTGTGTGTGTGTGTGTGTGTAGTGGAGGGGGTGGGGTGGGGGGGGGTCGCAATCAGAATTTGTGACGTCACTCGAATATTGGATCCTAAAGGAATATCTGGAGTGCGCTCGACCGGAACGGAACACGGGACACTATATCCGGGTGAGGCTCCGGCGAATAGTTTAGGATATATAGCGTGTAGAATGATTATACTGAGACAGACACACAGACAGACACAGACACGCTCAATAGAAACAGATACACGAGTTTAAGAAGAGGTATATTATTAAATATATTTTTAAATGAAACTTATACCTTACGGATATTCTACGAGACTTTATTTTTGTAAAAAGAAAATCACATTCACATCTCGTCTTAATGATCACGGTTGCTGAAAAGTAATCGAAACGTCGAGAGTGCGTAGTTTATAATAATCATAAACGCGTAGTAAATCCGAAAAAATATTAGTTCATTTAAATGAATATAGCTCGTGAAAGTCTTAGATTTCATTATGTATTTAATCATCGGACAGTGAGTGTTGATGACGCTGCTCCTCTCTTCTGTACTCACAGAACTACTATATTCTATTCTATTCCAAGTATTCATGTATGTGTGTGTTTCTGTTCCAGTTCACTCCCAGTTGGTGGACATCTCTCCTCGCGAGGCTGTACGTCGTGTGGGTGACGAGCTGACGGTCCTCTGCAAGGTCCCGTACCCCATAGACTCGTGCCGGTGAGATGACCTCCTGTAACACTTCACCTTTGACCTTTGACCTATCGCGATCTTTATCATGCGTATTATATATCAGACTGCCACTGCTGCTCTGTACATAATATATACATGGCATCTGTTTTTCAAATAAAACTTCTTTACGCACTTGTCTTGGGTATAAGCTCTATCTCTCTTCACTAACTTATATCTCGCTCTCTGTTTCGTTCGCCTCGCCCGATCACAGTTTTCGTAACGTTCCGTTACGTATTGACAAGCTTACTCCCAAGTCATAACCCATATGAATTGAAATATTTGTACAAAATTAATATGTATATATGCATGTCTGTATTGCACATATATAAACATATACATATTACATACAGACGGAACGAGAGAAGTTTTCCTTCAGCCGTGTGGTCTAAAGCACACTGGCTTTTTTTTAACTTGACGAAGTATCTCAAGCTCTGTCTCCTACTTTCTTCATATTTAAAGTATATGTCGATGTATGTCTGTGTCTGTGTGTGTGTGTGTGTGTGTGTGTGTGTCTCGTCTCTAGAGACCCTCGCGTCGTGTTAGGTATGAACACCTAACACCTCATTACAAGCAGCCTCCTCGCGCGATAATTACTATGAATATATGATCACTTTGATAATAACACGACCAGAGGGTAGCGCTACCTTATAACCTTCACTTTGAACTTTGTTCTATACATATATTAAAATCTCCTGCTATATACAGGGTGACTGGTGAATTACTATCAATATTTAAGGAGGATACTCGGTACATGATTCTTATTCGAATTATGAAACAAAAAATAAGTACTTAATTTTTGACAAAATTTCCGTATAAATAAATAAAGTGTGTACACGTTCCAAGTGTTCCAAGTGTGGACGCGTGCAGCGGCGTGCTGATACAACAACACGCCGCCGCGCGCGAGTGTGTGTGTGTGTATACCTAATCTGTAGGGTGTTCATACGATGCGTAATTAATTACATAACTTTTGGTTAACTTTATTTAGAAGTTTATTAATATTTATGTTATATTAATTTTTATTCTGTCATATTATGATCGTCAAATATCACGTCCTCAAATATCGATAGTAATTCACCAGTCACCCTGTATACATGAGATCGTTCGTAACGCGTGTGTATGTGTGCGTGTGTTTCATTATCATACCTACGTGTTGTTTATTTGTATGTGTGTGTGTTTCAGCGTGACGGTAGGCTCGACGTCGTACCGACTGCTCCCTGAGAACCAGGATGAGGACGTGTCTTACTCCGGGCAGGGTCTGCGGGCGGGCGAGTGTGGCGCACACATACGAAGCGTGAGGGAGGAGTGGAACGGGAACATCTCGTGCACGCTGCCGCCGCAGACGGGCAGCATCGAGCTCAGCGCGCACATGAGGCTGCTCGTGGCCAGTACGTACACACGGACACACCCACAGACACACGTTCAACGGTCGACTCATACTAAACACTATGATCTCTGTCCTCAGAGGCGCCCGGAGCTCCTCAGCTGGTGTCCGCTCCTCAGCCGACCTTCCGTGAGGGGGACGTGTTCGTGGCGCAGTGTGTAGTACCGGACGGACGACCCGCCGCTAAGATTACCTGGTACTTTGGTGAGTATACACACGAGACACGACGTATACAGTGTGTTATGAGTGAACTACATTATTGTAAAATAAAAAAAAATGTTTATTAAGTATTTATTTTTCGCCTGAAACAACAATCACAATACTGCTTACTACAATACAAGGTGTGTGTATGTGTAGTAACATCTCTCGCTTTTCATCACCATCTACATATTTATTTATTTATAAGGACAACTTACAAAACATACACTATTTTTAGGTTTTAAAATAAAGGTAATAACATTTTTAGCTAAGTGTTGTTTCAATTAAAAGTTATGGAAAAGGACAGTATTTTCTATTAACCTAACACAACTTTTTTTTTCTACTTCTATTATTATACAAAAGGGGAAACAAAAAATACTATCAATAATAATACAATATAAAATGTAAATTACAATAGACAATAACAAATTACAAACTTATTACTAAACAATTAAAAAATTAAAAATAAAATGAAACTTTTTTTTTTTAGATAACATAAATTTTATAACAAAATAACAAACAAACAACAATACAGAACCTAAGCGACACAATATAAACGTGATCGATGTTGAAGGACTGGAATGTGATCCTTATTTTATTATTTTCAACTTACAATTAATAATTTATACTACATATCCACTATTCTCATTTCCAGACGAGGTGCAGCTGCTGGCGGGCGTCCACCAGCCGGTAGTGACGTCACGTCCGGGCTCCGACCTCACCAGCATCGCACAGAACGTGTCCCGCACACTCAGCGCCGACGACAACGGGAAGAAACTGGTGTGCAGGGCGGAGCACGAGGCGCTTGACACGCCGCGGGAGGTGGCGCGGCAGCTGGTCGTCAACTGTGAGTACAGACGGCGGCGGACACTATATACAGCAGACATTATAACAGTCCTAATGAAATGTTCTGTACAGATCCTCCCAAGCGTCTGGAGGCGGGCCCCATCACTATCTTCGGTCTCAAACTTGGTTCCGAGGGTCGACTGAACGTGACGGTGAGAGCGTCGCCCGCACCCCGGGCTCAGTGGACGCTGGGGGAGGTGGTGTTGGACCCGCCGAGGACTGTGGAGGGGGTGACCGCCGTGGAGCCCGCGGCGCTGGGGGGCGGCTACTACAACATGACGCTCGTGATGGACACGGTCAGCAAGGACGACGTGGCGCGCACCATAGGCCTGCGGGTCACCAACGAGCTGGGCCAGGAGGACTTCATAGTGAGGCTCAGCACCATGGACGAACCACCAGGTAACACAAACGTTCACTCACTCACCGAACGAGTCCTATATACTCTTTGTCTATAACATAAGGCGTACTGTAACCAGTGTCTGTATTTAATACAATGTAAATATTCCAACAGCTCAGAAACCAAAGACGTCGTTTCTGATAATAGACGTGTACGGTAAGACTCACACACACATATATATACAGATATATATAGCATGAGGCCCCTGGAGGCGAGACTAGTGAATGATCCGTCGGTAGATGTCGGTAGATAGCAGGGGCGTGCACAGAGGGGGGGGGGCAGAATATGATTGAATAAAATATATGACAATTTTCATCAGAATTTCGTCTTCTAAAACATTAATAATACTCGCTCATAATGTTACAGCAGTCCGATCAGAACGAACATCTATATACTTTATGAATCTCTCAACTAGCTCTGAGACACGGAAGCACTTTAAAACTATTACGATCTGTTCATCACAGCTTTATAAAAGTTATTTAAATATTTCCACTAATTTCACTACATTCCACTCAAACATTCTTATTATTATCATTTGAAAACAACAAATAACTTATTTGCTTGTACACAACCTGTTAACTAAACTTATTCACTTGCTCTTAGAATGACAATAATAATAACAAAATGGAAAAAAAACTTAGAACAGTGTAACAACATAAATAGTAAAGAAAATCTTTGTATGGGAAATAAGTACCGTATAATAGTGCATAGCGGCGCTAGGATTTAGCAGTGGCCGATCGAAAATGTTTCGTTTTATGTTAATAGATGGCGCTTTTAACAAGTCGTGAATCAAATGTCATTCTAATGTTTGTAAACATTTGTATTTCGTAATGTATGATTAAAAGTAAATAAGTAAGAATTAAACAATATAGGTTTAGTTGTTATATGGGTAGGGTATGAAGTGCTTATATACATCTATAGTGTGCACGCCACTGGTAGATAGATGATCGCTAGACTATTACTGTTTATTGAAGTGAAACTTCTAATGTGATTTCTAACAAGGTTGCGTTATACGTTTAACGCTTCTGGGGGAAGGGGGGGGGATATAAAGAGACGGAACGAAATGTAAAGGGTGGAGCAATTGTACATTGTATGCAATGTTTATGAGTATTTCCACCTCCTCCTATTTCAAGTTCCACATTACGAAGTTTCACTTCTCCCGTGCGGATTGTGTCGATGCATTATTGTTTTAATATACCTGTTATTTTAAACTATTAAGTATGTAGTGCATCTGATTGTATTTTATTTGTATCATATATATAGCATTTTGTTAGTGTAGTCGTAGCTGTATGCTGTGTGTATCCTGTCTCTGTGTGTCGTGTTGATGCCCATGTTTTCTGTCCAGGTGTGGAGCTGGGCGTGGGCGGTATCGTGGGCGTGGTGGTGGGCGCGCTGCTGCTCGTGATCGTGGCCGCGCTGCTCGTGTTCGCTCGCGCCACGGACCGCTGGTGTTTCGCCGGTACGTACTCCGCCTGACTCGTCTCCTCATGTATTATTATTATTATCTCCATCTGTCTGTATGTTAGTGAACTCTTTATTGTTGATTCTCGTTTGCATGACGTCATACCTCCCTGTCTGTGACTCGGTGGGAGTGAGTCGTTACTATTATTATTATAACCGATGCATTTTGATCGTACCGATGGTTCCGTCGTACCTGTGAGGCATGTTTATATGTTGACTCTATATTAAGGCCGCGTGTGTCCGCCAGCCGCCTCGTCCGGCCGCTAGGTAACCGACCTCATCACACCATACGTTTTGACCTTCAGTAATTTGGCAGTGTTTTTGTATGGAGCTCTATGTATATATTATAAGTCGCACGCACGTCACGCCGCCTGTAGCGGGCCGCATGTGTCGCTTGATAGGTCCTGCATGTGTATATATATTATATGTTTATTATGTATGTATGTAGCGCTGTCTGTGTGTGACGCTTCCTCGAGTCTACTCTCAGGGATCAGTTTATGACGACACACGAACATGTTGTTATAATGAAATTAATGTTTTTGGATTACTACGTGTGTTATATTATTTTAAACTATATACCCCAAACGTTTCGGTTACTCCACGGCAACCGTGATCACGACATCTCGTCTGCCGTTAAAAAGAGACGAAACCTTTCATCATTCAATGTATTCACGGTGCGCCATTTTAGTGCTAAGAGGATGCAGAAATCTCCTATGTCTAACCACTCGTTCTGCATTTCTAAACTCATTGCATGGATCTTGTATTTATCGTTCTCGTCTTGCCGAATAAAAGACTTCAATATATCCGTATCTTGGACTTTCCTACTTGATCCTAACCCTACTCTGTTATTTTGTGCTCCGATCATAAAATTCTTACAGAATTGAAGTCGTGACTCTAGCTCGGGGGCATCTTCATCTTTTGGGAGCGATGTAACTAAGTCATCATGGGATTTTTCCGGGATATATCTCTTGGAAATTCTTAGGAGATTACAGAGCTTCGATGGCCTTTTTAGATTCATCCCAAAACTATTGCGATCCCTGAATAAAGCTGATGAAAGATATTATTAATACGCGTAGTAATCCGAAAATATTAGTTTAATTTAAATGAATACTCGAAACAGTCTTAGAACTCATTATGTCATTATGGTCTGTGACTAACGAGCAGAACCTCACTCGTTATAGACTGATGTGTCTCTGAAGACGGGCGGGCGCTGGTGGAGGGCTTGATTAATACATGTGTTAACACCAGGAGCTGCTTGGATCAACATAACAAACATCATTGACATACAATAATATATTAAAATATACCATCTAACATAGCTTGTGTTGTGGAACTAAACGTGTTCTGTGATGGAGAGAGGTCGAGAATTATGAAGTGAAGTGACCTCGAGGCCTGCTTGTTAAAGATTAACTTGTTGACTATATTGGCATTCCCATCACAGAACACGTAGAGTGTGTCTTTAACCCGGTGTTTGGTAGTCAGTGTCAGTATGTAGTGTAGTGTAGTGTAGTGAGGTCAGTGACTCCGGGCCGCTCCTTACCTCGCTGTGATCTCAGAGCGAGTCCTCCGCGACGCCGACTCGGAGGCGCCGCTCCCTCCGCGCGATGACGTCACGGGGGCCGAGAACCCCAGCCACGACTACGGGGACAAGACCGCCGACAAGAAACCCGACACGGCCGTCTAACACGCACACACACACACACACGGGCTGTGGAGGTTACTGTGGATCACTCACACACACACAGTCTCAGGCTCGCGCCCCCTCGCCCCATTCTAAGGGGTTCATTATTATCTGACGACGCCACGTCCGTGAGTTGAATCATTCACAAGCTACTGTGTGTTCGTTTGAGTCATTCACATATACCAACAATATTTTTTTCTGTAACCAAAATAATAACATCACGATGAATTAAAAAAATGTTTGACGAGTAAATGATATACGATGTATGTGACCCGCGACCGTTACTTAATGTGGGGATCACTGTCGACGAGCCCATGTAAAGGCGTCACCCACCACGCCGCGCCGCCGGCTGGCGGGTGACGTCTGAATGAATCTCACAGTCCTCACACGCTGACCCATCGCCTTAGTTAAGTGTATTATAAGTTGTACAACAATGAGCGGCTCCTTAGACCGGTCACACACACTACGGTCTACTGAGAGGTCCACCCGTGCGAGTAGACCGGAGTAGACCTGTGCAGCCTCTATCTCCGGTAGACCGTGGCGTGTGTGGCCTGCATCACACATGATCTGTACGCTCCTAAGTCGTTCTAACATATTATTGAATCTCTCCCGCCTCACGTGAGTGCAGGCTGCCTGTATGTATCTATGTGACCAGTACATAACTAGTGTAAGTCTCTCGGTCTCTCTCGTATTTTTTGTATATAAACTGTTTTTCTCTGTTCGACTTGTTCTCGCTCGTGAGTCGCTCCTTCTCACGCGAGTGACTCTCGATCGAGAACCAGTCGAGCGTGTATAAATCGTGACTCACATTAACCTTAAGTTAGTTTAAGTTGTATTTTAATCACCGTTGTGATTGTTTTTAAATAATATTTTTATTTTTGTACCAATTTATTAAGTGCCGTCAACAAACACTGCCATTTTGCATAAAAATATTAATAAATCTCCCATCATAGTCTTCGGCCAGTTTCTTCCAGTTTGTCAGATAATCGATATTACTAAGTAGCGAATGTTGAAGTGTTCCATGAATATACAGTATTTATTAAATCACATTAGAGTTTTTCATTTAAACACCTCTCACTGAAAAAAACGTGCACATCGATGTAGTACCGTCAAAATGCATTGACTTTAACACGAGCACCGACACACGGTCACGTTACAGGGAACAGGGGCCGCGACCACAAGAGCTCGGGGGAATCGTGAGTATAGAGGGAACGACGAGACATACATACACACACATGAGGGGCGGGACCTGGCTCACACTGGACATGTTGAGAACATGAAAAAAAGGCTTAATGTGGGAAGTTGCCAATACTTTTATTGTTTTCCAAAGTGATCTCCGTTCCTCTCCACACGTTGTCGTGTTTGATGAAGCCACTGAGACAAGCGGTGGCCCATTCTTCCTTAAATGTCTCTTGTATGGCATTTATTTATGTTGTCATTGCATCTTCGGGGTTCGTAAAGCGAATACATCGGATTTTATGTATGAATTAAAAATAAACAGGTCACTCTCTCATCTTCCTGTATCAGACGTGCTGTTAAAAGACGTCCCTCATGTTGATAATCATTGAGATAACTACGTCCACTCGCTAATCCAATTGTAAATAGTGGTACGAGTTGGCGCTTCATTAGGAAATTATAATCACAGCCTATCTTAGCTTTGTTGTTACATAAGTAAGCCCACAATAAAAGCCATAAATCATTGACCGAAAATTTTCTCGCGTTAAGTGTATTTTCACGTGTTACAAGTTTTAGATTTGATCGAATTCACAAAAATAAATAACAAATGAATGCAATATACTACATTAAGTTACCAGAGAGTTGTAGATCATAATTAAAAAACAGTTTTCATTATAATATTTCTAAGTGTCCAGTCCTAAACATTTTCAGTGTTCCCCTCGTATAAATAATGATTATGATATCAAGGGTATTAAAGATAAAGTAAAAAAAAACATTAAAACAGTCCTGTTGTGATCACGAGGAGTCACCAGGAGACGTTGTGTAACTAATACAATATATAATGTGCATTTACATTGATAGCACGGTATATATGTATGTTCGACTAGCTTTGCGCCCGCAGCTTCACCCGTATGTAGTTCGGTTATATCGCGTTTCCAAGAGAACCTTTCAAAAGTCTGGGATAAAAACTATCCTATGTTCTTTCTCAAGGTGAACTCTGTCTGTACCAAGTTTCATTAAAATCAGTTCAGTGGTTTAGGCGTGAAAGCGTAACAGACAGACAGACAGAGTTACTTTCGCATTTATAATATTAGTAGGGATTATTCATAATAACATGAATGAATCTCGCCATTCACTAGTACTGCCCCCAATCCTTGCCTATAACGCTTTATATATTCATACTCAACTAGCCTGTCTATTGAGGAAACCGCGAGATACGAGCTTATAAAGAAGGGAAGGCTGGAAATACAGTATGTTGTACATTGAACACTTGTCTTGAGCGAGAGTTGATACTACCCTTAGTTATACATAGTTATAATGAAAGTATCGCTCAAGGTTCGTGTTCCCAGCGACACTAACGAGCGGAACAAAACATAAGGAACTAATGAGACGCCCACACGAGGCTCAAACATCACACGAACACGCTACGGACTGTGTATAACTTGTGGGGCTTGGAGTGAGGCGACACATGTGAAAAGAATATACGAACCAAATATATGATGTTCATTGAGACTAACATATTCTTATAAGCCTTTAAACTTTATATACAAATTTAGCTGAACACTTAGTTGAATCAAAATGTAACTTTATCTAGACAACTACATTCCCTCACGATCTTCATCATACGAGTTCACACCCTCAGTTAAATATCTTCATACTCACAGCTCGTACTAATCTCTCCTCCCCCCCCCCCTCTCCCTCATCTCCTCCATCTCTCCGTCTCTATCTCTCCGTCAGTAGCGACACAGAGAGCGCGGCCGGAGCTCGCGGCCGGCTGGCGGCGCTCACAGCTCGCGTGAGGGCCGCGCTGCCCAAGAAGAACGAGAAGCACAACGAACAGGCAGCCGAGGAGGTTAGAACGAGACAAGTGTAGTGTAGACAGCTTTAGAGATCTTTATTTTCCAAAAAAGATACAAATTCACTTACATGGAAACAAGAAAATTAAGCTATTTAAAATGTCGTTCTTAAGATATAATAACTAACAGGATTTGAACGAGTAAAACTGAATAAAAAGTGTATGTACTTATGTACACTCGATAGAAGTTATACTTCTTTGACGTATAGATAGTAAATCAAATTTTAACAAATAGTTAAGATCTAAGATAGTATAAATACTAAGTTCTAATTATAAAAATACTAGATTATACAACTTTAACACCGTTAACGTTTTACATTCCACATAGAACTAACATCACGATGCCGCTGCCGGTCCCAACATTTTTCTCCATCGCGCCAAAAGAAGTATAACTTCAAAAAGTAAAAAAAAACATTGTTCACATTAAACAGTAATTACGATTACAACAAAATTTAAAGTTACTTTGTTCAAATATATTTAATACAAACGAACGATCTCCGGTTAGTCTGCTCAATTCATTTGATTTGTCAAGTATAACCAACACTACTAACTAACATTTGTAATAAAAACATTAAAACGCAGGCGTCTGAAGAAAAGAAAGGCGTTGTGTACGCTGAACTAGCGCTCGGGGAACAAGCGGGGGACAGACCGCCGCCGCCCGCTACAGAATACGCGGAGATAGTGTACACACAGGAACAGGAGAAGGAGGGGGAGAAGTAGACAGACAGACACACGGACTTGATGAATAATATATATATACGGTCACAGTGTGAGAGATCCACCGACAATTATATTAAATGTACTGAAACATGACCTTGTGTATTATACATAATATATTGATAACAACAAATTTGATATTGTAACGCTGTGTGTAGTCACACGCTTTGTAATCTCTGTCATACAGTTAGTGTAAGTTTTTTATTTTATATCGACAGCCGCTCACTGCCGGCGCTGAACTTGTTGTCACTCAGCGTATTTATTATCGAGATACGAATTGTTTTTTATAGTTATACTGTAAGCTAAGCAGGGTCCATGAGGCTTCATTAGACCGCGTTCACATTGACGCAGCGGGAGCGATGTTCACTTACTACTGACGCTTCACTCATATTACATTAAGTGTAATTGTTTAACCCGCTCCCGCTCCGCTCGTCTCTGTCCGGGGCGGATGCAGCCTCTACCGTCCGTCCAGTAAGCTAAGTGTCCGAGGTGCTTCAACAATACGTCGTTACCAACTTCATTAAAACTTTTACGTAATATTACAGTTAAAATTATTATTTTATTTGTAACTAGTAAGTAGCGTTCGTTCACACAAACTATTATAATAACAGCACAATCTATGAACACTTAGATTTTATATATTTCTATTGTAATAAGCATTTTTTTCTTTGTATAAGTTTTTGTATTTATAAAATGTCACTGTACTTAATGTATCTCAAATATTTTGAATAAAATTTTGTGTCATAATCACGAGTTTCTATTCAATAATCACAACTAATATTAGGTACCTACAGAAATCATTTACACAGACCGAGGAGTGGGGATAATGTGTTACACGATCAACTGTTAACAGCTGACTATGAGATGTTATTATAATAAAATAAGAAACCATATTTAAAAAATAAATGTGTTTTTATTAAATTTTGTGTTTTTTAAGGGAAATGTATATCAAAATGGAATAAATGTATTGTATTATTGATGTGAAATGGACACCAGGTTGATTTAAAATGATTGAAAAACTTTTACAATTGTCTTTAAGTTTAAAATTAACTGCAGCTTAGTTAAGAAGAGGATTCAAATGAAAGACTTGAAGTGTTTAAATATTTAATAAAAACATTGTTGGCTGTCATTCATCCATTAAAAAGTGTATCTACGAACAGCTCCATATAAAATATTAATAAAAACAAAACTCTTAAGAATTTATAATATTGCAGTATTTTAATTTATATTCTATTTAAATATATTCATATACAACGTCAGGGTTCACACCGAATAAATAAACTTTGTTAAAATACAGAGAGAAAAAATAATAAGTCGATCCTAACAAACGAGAAAGAAGTTGTGAGTGAGAACCCTAACTGTAGTTAAAATATAACTCTCTTAATATATTATATTAGACTAGCACGAGACACTAACAGGAGGAAACAACTGGCAAGAGACACGACGACCGGCGGAACAGAATTAACAACTAATGTATCGAGAATTAATAAAGATATGTGAAAAACTAACAAACAGACGAGAACCATATACAACTTGTATATAAAGATAGTAACTAAATATTTACAGGATTGTTTTAAAACCAAATCTTAGAATATAACGAAAACTATAAATAATATGTATATGAGACGAAGATCAAATAAACATTAGGAAATAATCTCACGACAACTGAAATAAGAACCGCACTACTGACACGTGGAGGGTCCAGGTGTGCCTCAGTCGGGGGTGATGGTGCCGGGCCCCAGCGCGCCCCGCCCCGGGGTCAAGGTCCGCACCACGTTCTCCCACACGTCCTTGGCCACGCTGGCGTCCGTGTCGCTGCACTCGTACGTGTCTCCAGGGTGCTTCCGGCCGTAATGCCGGATGATGTTCTGTCTGTGGGAGAACTTCTTCTCGCACACGCCGCACGCGAACGGCTTCGCGTTGGTGTGTGTCCTCATGTGGTAGATGAGCCGGCTCTCCTTGGGGAAGGTCTTGTTGCAGACGGCGCACACCGTGTTCTTGATCTTGGAGTGGCGGACCGTGTGCCGCTGCATGTTGTGCTTGTGGGCGAAGCTCTTGGCGCACACGGGACACGAGTAGGGCTTCTCTCCCGTGTGGATCCTCATGTGAGGCTTGATGAGGCCCGCGTGCGTGAACCTCTTCCTGCATATCTTGCAGGAGTAGGGCTTGATGCCGTTGTGGAGCTGCACGTGTCGGATCAGAGTCGACTTGTACTTGAAGCTCATCTTACATTTGTCACACACGAAAGGCCGCTCCGTCGTGTGTCTCCGGAGGTGACTCTTCAACAAGAACTCTTTCTGGAACACTTTCTGACAGACGTCACACTCTATAGGCTTGTCACTCGGTGTCTTACAGCGGCCCGCTCCCTGATGTTTCAGTAGGTTCGCTCTGACTGAGAACTGTCTCTTGCAGGTGTCACACTGGAACGGCTTCACCGTCAGATGTATTCTCTTGTGCTGCTCCAAGTTGGAGGAGGTTCTGAACGTCTTCTGACACTCGTCACACTTGAACCTCTTCTCTGTGGAGTGTGTCAGGACGTGCTTCTCATACAACATCTTCTTAAAGAACTGTCTGAAGCACACCTCACACTCCCATTTCTCCCTCGAGTGTAAGGCCACATGTCTCTGAACGTTACCTTTGTTGGCGAACCTCTTGTAACATATTGGACACATGTACTTGCCATCCACAGTCGAGTTCAGACTCAACACCTCCTCCGACACTGAGGACAAACATTGTAATGTATTAGTTATGCTTACTCGGTATTGTTATAATAATATGATGTCAAGTGTGATGTAGATAGATCACTTTTTTATATTAGTTACTGCCATTCAGTTTGTTTCTTAGCACAGTACATTTTAATATGGTTTTATTGAATACTACAAACATACAAACTGTGAAAAATATTGAGAAAGATATTTATGAATGAAAAACTTGGAATGTATGAGTTAGATGTGTGATGTTCATTTAAAACATAAAACAACAACTCAACAATATATTTATAGCATGCTATCTGTTTCTTTAAATATTTTGCTAAAATAGTTACCGTTACTGATATAAATATTGCACGGAGGACGTCTCACAGACTCCGGTACACTGAAGTTAGACAACTCCTGAAAAAGAAATAACAAATTTACTTTACACCATATCCATTGAATACTGTACCATTTGTTACAGCACCCAGTTCTAGCTTTTACCAATTAAATTAACAACTTTTAAGGTATTTTTTTCACAATTAGTAATTATTTAGTTTTTAATTTTAAAAAATTGTTAATTTAGAAAATATTTCAGCTCAAACTTTCTTCTGATAATCTGCTTTCAATGTTGATACGTGGAATTATCCAATGTTAGTTACACGGGTTTGCACTATTACTGACAATATGTCCTATATGTGTTTATAAGAGATATTATTTTACCACATTATCACTATCCAGTGGCTCTTCTTTTATGGACACTTCAACATCTATGTTGTGGTAGCCGGGCTCCTCTTTAATAGTTGTGTTGTGAAATGTTGACGTCTCAACAAGTAGGTTGGGTTCAGGTTTGACACTGAAATAATATAAAGATATTATGTTACTTAGGCACGAATAACACAAAGTGATGAAGTAGTTTTTGTTTGTCATGTATTAATATACCAGTTTCAAAAACCTTGTAAAGAATATTGTCATAATATAATATAGTTTATTAAGAAGATATTGCTTTTAATGTGTATATAATTACAAAATTGTAACTTTAAAATAAAATATTTTGATTTAATTGCATTCTAGTTAAATAAATGATCAGTCAAGAGTAAATCGTAAACAGTATTGCAATAAAAAAAGTTAAAGTTTCGACACTAGTTTTTATATTGTAATAAAACTATATTAACTAAAAAGATATACTTACTCATCCCGCGGTTCCACTTTAATGTTCACAAACTCTACACTAACTATTTTCTGTTCTAAGACTTCGATATTTTCTGTAATTTGTTTATTATTAATATTATTTACGATCTCATCGGTCGACGGTGTTTCGCCACACGCTGGCTCTTTCTTGATTTGTATAAACTCCGAAGTCATCTTTAACTCTCACGACATTTATTAGTTCTAAAACTTCATAGTTTCATTATTTTTTTACATTAAAAATCTGTTTTATTTTGTAGAATCTCGTCTACTACATTACCTTGTGTTGACGGTAACATTAGTATTGCTAGAATATGAATTTAAACGTCAAAAATATCGATTATATCGAATGTTCATAAAATCGATTAATTTTCCTTAGCTTTTTCTTCGTTGGTGGAAAATAATTGTAGATTTACTCATATTACAGCCATGATTTGAATTTAAACAAATAAATTTATAATTTTTATCGTTTAGCCTGAGAAGCCTTTGTGTAATATTTTATTACCAACGTTTTCTGTAATCTAATGACCATGTTGGAATAATGACACATAGTTTAGCTGAATAAGTATTTTTCGTATAAGTCTTAGTCTCAAGGGAAAATTATAATAATTAAGCTAAAGTAAAAAAAAATATTTAAAACATTCGCAATATTTTCGTCTTGTGTTTGAATATGATTACTGTAATAGAGAAGTACATAAATACATTTATCCCCTTTTCGTTACAATTTTATACTTTTTGTTTCTAAAATGTTAGTTTAATGTTCTGATATACAAACTAATTGCTGGATCATCGCTCCTGACGTAACAGGTTAGTTTGTATCCTTTACAGAATCTTCAATCTTCGAAACACTGATGTAATCCAAGTATGTGAATCTCATAGAGGAGTAGGTATGTCACCATGAAATCAGTGATTGTGATCAAGGTGTTACTGAATCCAATATTTATGTTTTTTACACTGATTGATTGTCTTTGATTACGTTTGATATCGGTGTCGAAGATTTGCTGTACCACCTGTATCTTTGGTTTCATTGCTTAACTTCATCTTGTGTGTCATCCACAACGGTAGATTCTCACAACTCATCACAACTTTAACTAAGTCAGATCTTGAGTAATGTTTATTTCCATCAACAGATGTCCAGTTACAATAATAGTTAAAACCGATTTAGAAAATCATTTTTGTAAGATGTATTAAAGTAACTTTATAATCATAATTTAATATCTTCCACGTTTTCGTGATAGCCTTTGAGTCTATACATATATTGGTAGGTCGCAGTTATTGTAGTTTGAATCTACACCACTGTGTCTTGTTTTAGTGTCTGAAAGAAGGATAGTTAACATAGGCGAGACGTGATGTTACCACTGGCACTGAGAACAAGTCCTACGTGTGGCTTATTGATCAAGCTGAACCCTTCTTGATGATAGTTAAACACATGTTCCGTACAAACATACATTTGAAAACGAAATTAATCTTTTGCAATCATTTGAACAACAAGATATCATGTGCATGTACTTTTTATGGTTTAAAGCACTTGGAATTAATTTTTAATTTCCATATAAATTTTATTGTGCATGCAAAAATTAAAAAGTTAAAACAAGTTGTTCTGTACAGTACTTACTGTGTGTGAACAGCAGCGATGTGGTACAACATTTTAATGATCTGGAGTCGTAAGTTTTGAGTGTAACAAATAAGTCAAAACTACTTATTTCTTTCTTATGTTTATTATAAAAATTATGACATTTTTGCATGTTATGAAACATTCGGAGCAAGTTTAACTGTTAATATTAATTGTAATTATTAATTATTTTGTTTGAAGGAGTAATGATCGGTGGACATTCATTAAACGTGTTTGTTGGTGAAGTCAATAATGATACCAAAATAGAAAGTCAACAATACCGGAAACAATAGTAAGCTATGTTCAACTTGTTACTAAACGGATTTCCGTCTATTAATAATATTTTGTGATCGGTACTGTCTCTCTCTTATTATAATAAAATTTGTGTTTGTCTACTTGAAAGCAATAAAAAACAAAACTAGGATGAAATCTCCTCCCTCCCTGCCTGTCGTATGTCGTGTGTAATCATGTTTCTTGTTTAGAGTTACAATTTTATAAAGTTGCCAACAAAAAAATCCGCACAGAGCTTATTTTATATCGTCCGAATCCAATTACCTTCAAGCATTTGTTATTTGAGCTGCGACTCATCCACACAACTATTGTATTGGTTAATATTATATTAAATAAACTATGAACACATTGTTATATGACTTGTATGTATTCATCAGTGGTGACTTCAGGCCTAATAAACCAACGTACCTTCCGATGCATATGAAAAAGCCCAAAGCTGGGCCGGAGACGTTCTTTGAGCCATATATGGAGAAAGGAGACTGGGTGTTCTATCGGTGAGTAGCAGCGACCCGGCCCCGGGCCTACATGTAAAACTGTAATATCATAAACCTTCATCATGTTAATTTGACAGACAATATATGTAGTAAGAAGTATGTTGTTCATCAGTGGGAATAAATGTCCTAAAACAAAACAAAACCTGATTTGTTTTCAATAACTATATAAAATATATTGAGTGTATAGTAATTGTTTGAAAGAATTCTATTTTTATTTATAAATGACATATGAACATCGTGAATACTGTCGTTTGTACTCTCATACACACGTACATCTTCTATATATATAAAAATGGATTGCTGTTCCTTAGTCTCGCTAAGACTCGAGAACGGCTGAACCGATTTGACTAATTTTAGTCTTGAAATACTCCTGGAAGTCCAGGGAAGGTTTAAAAGGTGAGAAAAACTGGAATAATTGCCGGAAAAACCCTAAAAACAGCCCTTTTCTATTTCCCAAACAAACGATTTTTTGACATTAGATTTGACAACTAACTAATATGTCAATCATTCTGTTTGATTGAAACAGGAAAAACCTGATTATTTATGGCCTCTAAGACGGAATAGAGTTCGCCTGGTCAGCTATACCTACATATATTACTCTTGACCAAACTAACGCGGACGAAGTCGCGGGCAAAAACTAGTTATTAATATAATAAGTGTTATACTTAGCTCATTAATATATTAATAAAACGAACATTTTCAGGAATCAGTCGACGAAAAATCCAACACCGTATATTATGAACAGAGGAAACACGACGAAACATACGGAATGTAACCAAATATGTCCACAAATGTACCAGGAGTGAGTTCAGTCTATACAGACCCATTGGATCTCTTGAACTTATAATAGAGAGTGGTTTAGAGGTTATAGAAGGAATTACTGTCCAAATATACAAAGGAAAGGAAAAGTAGGATAAAAATTTATTTTACAAATCGTTAGGAATCATCAAATGTTTGCGAAACATCCTCTCATGTATTATAATAGACGATCTATAAAACAGTAACAGCATAAGTTTGTTCTAGATCAGTTTTCAGATCAAAGTTGATTTGTAGCTACATATCTAGATTCAAATTTATTGACGGCCTGGTAGAGCCGAATGACCTCCTATGAGACAGTCGTCCTCAGTGTTCAGCTCTGTATCAAAAGTATTAAATGACGTACATTACAACACTAAACCAAACATTATCATGTACAACAGTACTCGGGTGTGGACTTTATTACGACTTCCCTGCCAGGCTGTAGAATGACTTATTGTATAATTTAGAAGTGAAAAAAAACCTTTTCCGTTAATTAAATTAAATTCATGATATACGATATGTAATGACTTCAAATTAACTCTTGTGTTCTAACAGAAGGCTGTCATTTGATGACCTTGTTTTAGTTATGGAAAAGTGTGCGCCTTGAGATACAACAAATTTACGAAGGACAATGTTTATAGGAGCTTCGACAGTCTCTGTCACGTTGAGTTTGAGAACTGTCGCTACAGCGAGAACAGTGAGTCGTGATACGATACTCGAATGATTTATTATTAATAACAAAAGTTATTTTTGAAGTAAAACTTCTTTACGCACGCTGGGGGGTAAGAGGGTGAAAGCGTTACGAAAAGTGTGATCGGGCGAGGCGAACGAAAGTGTGAGGGAGTGATATGAGTTGGTGAAGATAGACAGAGAGAGTGTTACGGTTCATGGATCATCATCATCATCACAATGGATGGATGGATGGATGGTAATTGTGTCTCAGAAAGAAAAAATGGATGATCTATATAAAATTAATCATTATAAACTTATTCAACATGTTATGTGTACGTGTATAAGAGAATGATGTATGAGTAAATGTAGATACTATTAAAACTATCCTGCAATACGTGGATCAGATTAAAGGGCTCAGAAAAGGTTCGTATAAAACTGTAGGCGCAAATGAGAGAGTACTCGTATATACACGTCTGTATTATACATAATACATATATAAACATATGCAGATACATATTACATACAGATGGAGCGAAAGGAGTTTTACTTCAGTCGTGAGGTCTAAGGCACACTGGTTTAATTTTTTAACAGCTTGAGACAGCATTGCTTCTAGTCAATATCACGGTCTCACGAGTGAAGGAGCATTTACCTATAATATTAACCTGACATCATTCTTCGTCCACAGGATTCGGTTGGTATTCATGTTCACATTGTATTTGTTGTCAATATATCTATAAAAATAATAAATGTATGTTTGTTAATGTTTAAGCGTGGCAACCGAGGTATAAGGGCGCGTGTTTGAAGCTTATCCGGAGTCAGCCGATGAGTAACAAAAATTTAGTCAAATATGCAATTAGCTATGAAAAGAAGGCTTCAAAGTTCAAATAATTTATATATACTCTGATACTCATGATCCACAAATTATACATGTTATCATATCAACATGTAGAAATGTTTTATTGGTACTTGAACAATCCTCTTAACCTCAAACTTGTAAACACAATAAATATACATAGGTACGTAAGATATATTGGGAGCGAACATCTATTATCTCACATGGAGAGGTTCGAGCATTAATCACCACGCTTTCTCAGGACGGGTTGGTGATTTCAAACTTTTAATTGTGACATTATAAGTCCAGGTTTCCTCACGATGTTTTTTCTTCACCGTCAGTTAGTGGTGTCTAAATACTCTCAGAAACTACATATGACTTGGAAAAATTACATTGGTACTTGCCAGGATCGAACAGGCGCCCTCATGCATGAGAGGCGGGCCTTTTAACCACTAGGCCACCACTGACTATATTAATACTTTATTAAAAATACTTGTTTAGAAGATGAGTTACGTTGATCGAAGGGCTTTTTTTGGAAAATATAATTTAAAAAAATAACATTGAATAAATACAATATTAAGATTTTTTTATTATCACTATTTATCTGGCAATCAAAAGGTTGTTTAAGATATAAACTTTCTACTAATTTTTAATATCACTCTAAAGATTTTTTATGAGGTCATCATGTAAAATTAAAAGTTATTTTTTGTGTTATTAATGAGGTTGTCAAACGTTTTTTTTTTTGAGACTGATATGATTTTGTGTTTCAATATTTTACAAATACCTATCACCGAATTAATCAGACGGATTGCATCACTTATAAATAAATCAGACCATCAATAGAATTGAATACATATGTACTTAGAATAAATTACTTTACTGAAACAAAAATCGAGACACAAGATCTGTTTGGACATGTGTATAATAAAGGCTTAGCTTCACAAAATACTGCTCAAAATAACCCTTAAGCAACTTGTAATACAATGATAATCATTTCAATACAGTGACATTATATTCTTACGAGGATGTTTGAAACAATAACAGTAAATTGTATTTTCATATTAAATATAATACAATTATATGAGAATAATGTTCCGTTCCTGTCATCACACTATTAATGATGTATTTATATCAGTTTAGATATCACAGAACTGTTACCGTCTGTAATATGATACTGTTATGAAATCTCTACTAGACAATTATTTGCGTCAATAATGCACGAATAGCAATACATATATATACATATATGGAATTCGTAGGAAAGGAGATCATTCTTTTTGGGCCTTTTTTAAAAGTGCCGGCCAACAAAAAAAAATGGTACATATTTGTAGAACTAACCATTTGGAACAATAGTTAATATGGCGCAAAAGTTGTAGGATCCAAGATATAGAAGTTATACAAGTTTCAAGATTCATCGTTTTGGTACTTTATTTTTTCTGAAAGTGCCAGGAAACATAAAATAATGATTGATATTGCTAGAGTTAAGCTTCTCAAGCAAATCATTATAGCCATAATCTGTTAGAAACATGTCGTTTTTATGTATGTAATACTAGCGAACCCGACACACGTTGTTCCGCCAAGTATCTGAACGCATGCAACACATTTCTTGATTATTTTATTATTTGTCTAACCTAATATGTATATCGGGGTGCCATTTTTATATATTAAAAAAATGGGCCTAGAAGCACTTTTAACTGATTTTGTACCATTTCATGTCGGATTTGATCATATCACGCGAGAGCAAGTAAGCAAGTAAATAGACTTGTAATTTTTACTGAATTAAACACTGCCATTCTTATATTACATAAAAAAACTATAAACAACTTTTTTTGGTTTGTAGTTATGCAATGAAATTATAATCTCTGCATATTTAGAACACTTTGTTTTTGTTTTACCTATGTAAAGAAGTGACACAAGTAGTTATTTTTCAATACTGTTTGTAGGAACTTTCCCTTATTTAGATAAAAAAGGTAATAAAGACCTCACATTATAAATCTATCAAACCACATATAAAAATGTTAAGATGACTTGTATACCTATTTCATTATATTCAATTAAATCAATTTTTTTTGTTTTTAATTTTTAATTATGAATACCAATTTGTAAAGTAAAATAATAATAATGTATATTATCATCTATAGTTATAAAATATAATTAATTATTTATAGTTTTTTTTATATTAATAGTATGTATTGTGTGCCTATATCAGAAAACTATTTTTATGATTAGAATTAATGAGGATTCCTATTCAAATTGTTTTATTGGTCTCGTAAATCTAATAATGTTTATCACTCCATTAAAATAGTAAATGTATGAACAACCTAACGAAAATAAGTAGAAAATTAAGAAGAAAATATCCCCGCTATCAATAATAATACATAGTCTAAGTCGACCCCAACACCCTTCACACGAGTTACACAGCGTGAGTTCGTGACACTACATAACAAGCGTTTCCCGTTCCTCATTCATAACCTGCATTGAAACAATAAAAACTAAATCTCTCTACAAACAACTAAAAGACTTGGGCCTGTCCAGAACTAACATAACTTCATTCTTTGAACGTGTGTCGAAGGTAGCCCCAGTAAGTAGGGACATTTTAAATTAGTTAGGTAGAGAGGAGCTTGGACAGTGGAGGTGAGCGTTTAATGCGTGTTAGATAGGGACCCTTAAAGCTACACCTGGGTCACAAGTCCCAGTCACTGTTGAAGCTCCTCTCACTACAACGATGGACCCGACACACGCACCGTGAATACATTGAATATTAAGAAGTTTCGTTGCAATAAAAAACTATTAACGCTCCGATAACGTGACGATGGAAACTTACACACGTCGTATACGGGACTAGAACTGAACAAATTATAATTCATATTATTAATATACATGATGAAATTGGATTTTTCGTTCGGAAGCATTATGCTGTTATTATAATAATTTCAATTTACAGACAGATCAATAGGGAAGTAGGCAAGTAGACAACATGAACTAACGACACTAGAAGAGATTCGTCAGAGAATTGCTAAAATAAATCAGTCACCGATTCTTTATATATAATACTCAAAAACAATAAAACCAAAAATACCTATGCATTACTTCACAAATATCAGACTGCACAATTTTCAATTTAATTTCATTACAAGTGAAATAAACATAAGTTTATGAGCATTCAAAAGGATTGTGAACTGAGGAATGAACACTTGATTTTTATAGTGACCAGGAACTGGGAAATAAAATGTATTTAAGAAAATTAAACTGACCGAACATTAATGAAACTAAAACAATGAGATGTACTAAAATTATCATATAACAGTAACAAAACAAAACAATCAACAATAAAACATTTTTCTTCTCGTCATATAAATTATAAAGTATTTAAATTAGATAAAGCGTAATTCGTGTAGATTTATTTAATGTAAACTAATTATTATAACTAATATATTGTAATCTGCCTGATCCGGCACGTCGCCGACACTCGGGCTCGAGTCTCATGTGACACTGATGACAAATGAAACAATAGATTCCTAACTGTAATGTCTTTTTTATGTAACAGATATTGTACAAATACGAGCTGTTTTTTTCCCAATAGTCCTCAGATATTAAAGATGGCTGTCTCTTTGTAAATTTGGAACTTGTATGTACATTTACAATCTTGGAAGATCATTAATATTAGTTATCAATAGTCCCGATAGATAAATTGGATTTAGTAAAAGTCTAGACTAATTAGAAACAACATTCCCTCATTAATGTTTTTATAATAAAAAAAGAGAAAAACATTAAATAACATAGTATTGCTATCTTAATTAATTGCGTCAATGAAGACTTAATTAAAAATAAATACATTTTATTGTATTCCATATCTTTTATACGAAATACTTTCGAAACTATACTTTAATGCACCAGTTAAACTCCTAAGAAGGCTCGTGTATACTCCATTCAATACAAAAAAATGCAAAAGTAATCTCGCTCATTATTCACCTTTGAATAGAATGACTTTAAAGTTTAACTCTCTTTTTAAAAATACTAAAATTGATATATTCTCGGGAAGGCCTCTTGAATTCAAAAACACAATTAAAAAATGTTTAACTAATTAAGCTTAGATTTTACTTTCTAGTTGTTTATTCTTCATGCACTGTATCTAAACTAAAATGTATTAAAACCAAAATGTTAACCTTGTGATTACATGGACTCTGTTACTATTTCAGCATGA